GACAGCCCAAAATGTTGAGAAAGATTGCTTTGAGGGAAGATGTGACTCAGAAGAAACTGGAAAAGAGAGAGCAGAACTACTGCCATGTTCTTAGCATGCAGGGGGCAGAGGAGGAAGAGTGATGACAAGGGACAATCCCAAGACAGGTATCCTACTTGCCAAGTCTGCTGTAAGACAGATGATCAAGGCCTAAAAAGAAAAAAACAATAAATCTCTCCACTAAAGCAGAATAGAGGACTGACATGAAGCAATTCCCTTCCTGCTGCAAAGCAGGAAAAGCTGTTTAAGCTAACACACATAAACATGTATGTTAGTTATGTATGTTATCTTCAGGGCTCTGAGCTGCTGTACCAGCAACCACTCACTAATGTGCCATGGGTAAAGACAGCAGCCAGAGCAAAGAACAGAGAGCAATGAGAAGTTGCAAAGAATGGTAGCAAAGAGGTTTGGAAAAACTACAAAAAGCAGATAAGCAACTTAACAGCTGTTCAAATTGGGTCATGTTACCCAACAGATTTTATCAATTGAGGGCTGCTACTTAAGTTGTACCTCAAAGTGGACGAGAACTGACCTAGCAGTTGCCACATCAGAAGAAAACAGATTCTAAAATAGTGTGGTATTTGCTTTAGGCATTAGGTGTTATAAATCATCCTGTTTAACCAACCTGTTGGAATTTTCTTTCTCACCTCCCCTCCCCCTTCCCCCTTGAATAACAACGGCTTGGTGATCTTTGTCTGCCAGCATGGGAGTCAGCTCATTTGGAGCAGCGAATAATTCCCATGAGTTATTCCAAGTTCCTGGGTGGAAGCTCAGCTGGTGTATTTGTTGCAAGGATCCATTTGCATGCAGTCCTTCCTGCTGCCAGTTGGGCCCTGGCAGAAGGCTCATCCTAGAACGACAAGGCTGTTGCATAAGAAGGAGTCACCAGTCAGACAAGTCTGGTCTAGGAGCTTACAGTTGGCTCTGGGCCCTGTGGTGTGAAGAACACTTAGCACTGCAGATCTCCCTGCAGTGCCTGTACAGGAGTTAAGAGACTTGGCAGCAATTCTGAGCCATATTTGTCCTTTGTATATCCTATTAGTAACTTCAGCTACTGTGCAGCGGTGCTGCAGGAGTCTGGATACCTTGTTCTCTGACGAAACAGGCAACTGCTCCAGCCATGAAGCAATTGTTCTTGCTCTACAGACTCCCACAGGCTATGTTCTTCACCTGCCTCTGCCATCTGTCAAAGTGATTTCAAGAGTATATTTCAGCCCTTACTGCAGGAGCTACACAGTTGTCTTTCTTCAGAACCAGCAGTGACTAAAAACTAATATCTATATCTAAATAATATCTAAACAATAACATCAAATCAGTCTCATTCTACTGGTATCTCTTGGAGCAGGTTCTGTAAGATTTATATGACCCCTGAGAGTGGGTAGGTAAGTGTGTCCATTAATACAAAAATACTCTAGTTCTAAAAATAAATAAAAGCAATGAAAAATGTTCCAGTGGTAAATCTACTCAGATCTGAATCTTTTGCCACATAGTTTACTTTTGTCCAGATTCTAGCAATGGGCATGCTGACTTCAAAGCACTTTGAACTTCCACAAGTTTTGAAGTCACAGCTGAGTCAGAAAATCTGTGTATTTCTCATCTGTAGCAAAAAACATTTTAAATGCTGGTTTTAGATTTCTGCAAAAAAAGGAAGGACTGGAACAAACTTGACAAAGTCACTTCAGAGTTATATTTGAGGGAAAAAGCCAGAGCTTAGAAGCATTTGATGAGGTTTATCTACATTCTTTAAACTGATCATTTCCACATTTTTGCTGCTTAATAATAATATTCTTGGTCTGAAGGTCTATGATTGTTATTTTACTTTGCAATATTAAAATTGAAATACAAAGTTAGCAAAACTTTTCTTTGCCTGAGAACTTCCTTTTATTTATTTTATTAAGAACTATTGAGGGACTGAAAGTAGACTTGAGTCACAAAGCTAAGTACATAAAAGCTTATGTATTGATTATAAGTCTAGGTCTGAAGTTTAACGCAGATCCTTCTTTATACTGAACGAGGTGTCACAGGCTCTTATTAGCCTTTCAAGTTCTGATTAGATGCCAGTATAATTAAAACATTCCTTGGCACATGATCATGTGCCTTCATGATCACAGGCTGCTCTGTGTGCATGCATGTGCATGTTACAGAGAACTGCTGCCACCACCACCAGGGACTCACAAATGCTGCACCGTTCTGTTCCGCAATTTTGGGCACTTCTGCCAACAAAGGACTGCTCTATTTTTTATAGTGATTGGCAGTGCTGTGAAGTCCTGACCAGCTCTTGGCACCGTATTTGGAGCTCCACTGGCAGAAAATCATTCTGCACTTACTCTACAGTTCCATTTATAACTTGGAAGAGCAACTTGCACGTTCTGTAAAAAAAACTTCTGGGAGACAGTTATGATCATAATGCTGAAGAGAACTTTCAATATTTGCGCTTTAAAAAACATGTATGTCAGGATGGACAGCTAAAATCAAAGGGAATAAACTCTCCAATGAGGCCATTTGTAACATATTTCAGTTGCAGAGATCCTTCATCTACTGCAGCTGTAAAACCAAGTATGAAGCTAGGATTTTTTGTTTGCAGGCTTTTATGTCTAAACCTCCATCCAAAATTGATTACATTTCTCCCCTCAAGAGAATGAAAAAGATTTTGATGAAGAGCTGAATGAGTGTCCTAATTGCTGGGCCACAGACTATCCTGGGAATCTAGCATCTCCTCCTGAGGAATCCAATTGTCTTAAGTGCATGTCCTAGATGCTAGACCAAAGGATACATCCCTTGCTCTCTCACTCTCTCCATTATTCATGAACTACTTGTTCCAAGTGGAATGACTTTAAAGGAGAGACCTCTTCATTTCAGAATATCCTACAAACCACTGTGGAGACCATTTGTTTCACATCCAAACTCCAAACAAGGTAGATGATGAAGCTAACATTCATGTTTGGTTGCACATTAGCTCCTTTTGACAGACTTTCTGGCCGCTTTCTGTTGGACCATTTTTCTCGGTATGTTCTGAAAATGCTTACTGGTTTGGGCTCCACAGAGATGCAGGAAACACCTGATGTGCAACTTTGAGGGCTTGGTAGCCAAGTATCTTGGCATTGCCAGGATCTGAGCAGTTATGGAATAATCAAGGCAGCCAAGCAAGGACGCTGAAGATTTAAATTTTGCTGTTTAAAAAAGCATGGATTATCATTTAGAAAGTAGAAAAGAATACAAATACCTTCAAACATCTTTTAAGTCCGCTGAGAATGACACCATCCTTTCTCCTCCTAAACCTCCCCCTCAAAACTTTAATGACAAGTGTCATTAATTAATTTCATAGTTTCTTCTAATTTAGCTCTTACTTTTACAAACAAGGAGCTGAGTTCTTCAAGTTGTTCATACCAGGTACCAAGAGATGCCCAGTATTGCGTGTTGTCTGAATGTCCATAACCAGCAAAAATGAGAAAGTTTGATCAAAAATTTTCATTCTGTAAAAATGGGAGGAACTTTTACATTTATTATTCCTGTTATGCAGCATGAAGGATTCCCATTAGTCCAAACATCCCTCAGGCATCCTCTACTGTTTTTATGATATTTTTTTCAATACTGAAACTTCTCAAACTTACTTTTTATAGATTTCAGACATCCAGATGATTATGATCATATACAGCCTTCAAAATGTGTTCAAATATATGTTGAAGTTATTAATTTTTAAGTTAATTTAGTAATTAATAAAAGCTATAAGCAACATTGCTTATACTTTTATTTTCATCCAGGCCAGATTCAAATGAAGATAAGAATCTGTTACCTTCAGCATAAATCATAAAAAAGTTTAAGTTTGAGGGAGCTCTCCTTTTCTCAAAGACTGCCTACTTTGGAAACTAAGTGTATACACCTTTTTTTAATACTAATAACATTGTGTGTTGGACATCAAATAGAAAAGTCAGATTATTAAGAAGAAAACTTATTATCTCATAAGATTCATCACATCTTTGATTTCACATATTTGGTTGGATCTTCAAAATTTTTCCACTTAGATACTGATGCCTTACTACTATAGTTCTTCTTCACTTGTCAGGAAGACAAACTTCAAGAGATAAGAGGATTTATAGGATGTGGGTTTACCAGAAAAATCAATGCACCAGAACTTACTAGACTGAAAGAATGGATGTCTCTCTGTAGACCTGGCTCAGATTCATTGACAAGCAATCAAAGCAAGCATTGCTTCCTGAAGGGAGCAGGAATGAAATGGGTGAAACTGAACGGAGCCCCACACTGGAAATTACATGTTGAGATTGTTAAAAGTATACAATGGGGGGCATTTCATTTTTAGTTTTAGATGTCAGCATACATTTTGGATGTCTAAAGATGTTTTGGTGTATTACTTAGTTAGAACTACAAGTGTCAGCTAGTAGGGAAGAATGCCTGGGCAGAGAGGAAAGAAGGCAGGAAGATAATTTGCTAAATTAATCAATGACAGAATAAAAATTTTAGAAGTAGAATCGGACTCTTACTCTAGCTAGTAGAATTAACTCTACTTAAAAGGCCAGTTCTCAGATAAACAAAACCACCTGAGAATAAAACAGCTCTCAGATTAAGTGTGTGAGTGGGAAACATGGTTCCTCACCAGGAAGATCTCCAAAATAGCTATTAGGAAAAGCTCTCCTCTGACAGAGCCTTGAGTAAGATTATGACTTCTATCAACAAATTGCCTGAGCTTTTGATGCAGTGCCCTACTGCTGGTTTGGTATACCATGGCTGTTAACTTTCATGCTGATTAGAGCAAAGAAAAAACTTCATAAATCTTCAAGAAAATGGCTTTCTCCAGAAGAAAGTATCTCCTTCCTTCAAACAAAAGGACAGTAAGGTCCTATGCTGCTGGGAACAGGTTGATATGTGGATTGAAGGTGTACTTTTAACAAATGCAACAGACTACAAAGAAAAGGATAACCACTGTTGCTTATATTATTGCTTGATTATTTCCAGATGTTACCTTATAGATTTGCAGTCTTGTTGAATTATACTTGTACCTTAGCACGTCTCTTTGTGCAGTGCAAGAAAAGTAAACAATAGTACTGACATACAGAGTTCATAGCCTCGTATTGATTCCGGATAAGACATTTGTCTTAATACACTTTACAAGACAATGGTGTAGTTCCAGCCAATTAAATTATTGCCCATCATGTCACTAAACTGAAAAACTATCGTAAATTTGGTAAACTGCATAGGGAATTACAGTGAAACATTTGCTTTAGGACTACAAACAATTTAAAAGATTATCATGCAAAGCCAAAAGAGCACACAGGAAACAGTAATATTAGCAAATATTATTAGAAATAAACAAATTGTTTTCTTAACCTAATGTCATTTTGAACTAGCAATAAACAGTAAATACCCGTGTAATGTAAGTACCAATGGCCATCTCCAGATCACAAAAAAGAACATGCTTCTTTTCAGCAGCATCAATGCAGAAATCTGTTCCTGCCTCAGTACTGCTCAACTGTGAATTTACTGTGAGTAAGCAATGAATATAAGAGCCTTCCAACTACTAATTGTGGCTTGCTATTTACAAACTTTATTTATAAACTCATTTTCATGCAAGTATAAAATACTAATTCCATGGACAAATACACATTTGTTCACCACTCTAAATTATATACATTGTATTTGCATCTAATATTCAGAGAAGTGCAAAGTCCACAGTGACGTAAAGAACAAGTTTTGTAAACTATTTTAGATGACAAGCTCTCAAAAGATATTAGTAACCATACGATAAGGTATTTTTTGTATACTGCTGAAATCAAACATTTTTGTAGTAAAAGAACATACATATCAGCTACATTCAAGTGAATATTTTATTACCACGTATTATGTCTTACAAACTTCAGTGGAGATGAGCAAGAGCGCTACAGAACCATACCTTAACGCAAGAGGTGTATTGCATGGTATGTGCAGGCATAGCCAAGGAGAGAGGAGAACTGGAAAGGAAAACAAGGAAAGAAAACTTGTACAAAAATGGACAGTAATACTGACTAACACTGGGTTATAATCTTACTTATAACAGACCTGAAGGGCTAATAGAGATCCAATTCAGAAACACCTGTGCACTGTAGGTACAGTTTGGTGCAGATCAAGAGTGCACTAATAGAGTCAACATTGTACGCATAAGATAATGCACAAAATACGCTGATATGCATATAAACAACTAACTTGTTTACATTAAGTAGGGCAGCACTGTTGTAGTACTGCATCCTTGGCACTTAGTGATAGGACAACATGTATTTGGTTTAACTAAATTCATAAACAGGATATATAATGGTTTGTAAGATGAAACACATATATTATCCCTTTCAACCTTCTGGTTTTACAGCATTTTTCTAATTTTCCAGTTCAAATGCAAACATGACACACTAGCTAGATATGGAAGACGTTTCAGATGTTGGCTTAAAACGTCACCTTCAATTAAAAAAAGACAGAATCAAGGATTAATTCAAATTATAGAAAGTGAATTTGTTACTATTGTCTTGTGCAGAAGACAAAATCTGAAACACGGGGGGAAAAAAGTGACCTTATAATAAAACCCACAATGTCTTTATGGGCTTCTCCTGAATAGGAACTTCTTCTTTAATATCCCTTTCATATATGCTAATTTCACTTAAAAAAACTGCTGAATTTATTAATCTGAAAAGCTGTAACTGAGATAGAAGTTTGGCATCATGTATCACATCACACAGAATGGAAGAAAATATGCTCTTCTTCAAAGAAAGCATGTTTCAGCTAGGAAAGGATTCCAATTTTAAGTGATTGTCCTTTATTAATATTAACAACTATCTGGAGGGAGCCAATTTACTTTTGCCTGTTTCAAACAAACTGGCTAAATTGCAATTTTACGCTATATATAACAAATGTAATAAAATTGTTCTTAACATATAACGATGTAATACTTTAAAATTAGCTGTTTAAAATATTTTACAAAGACATTTTATTATATATGAACTATACAACACACAAAAGTATGACATATTTTGAACATATACACATTTCTGTATTTTTCATGTAGATTATTATTTTGCACCAAACATTGGTGTCTGCAATTTTACAGTCCTCAGTTAAAAGCAAAACAAAACCCCAGAATGTTTAGTGGATATGTTTAGTTTGGGTTTTTCTCCTGAAAATAAAACCTATTGCAAGGAGAATTTCTCTAACGATTTTCTTCTTTCCCCAAATTCATAGTTTACACAAAGCTTTCCAAATGGATCAACATACACAAGAAGAATAACCTCTCTGTTCTTTGCAGTGCAATTTGCCAGGGATAAAACTGAAACCAAACTGACCCTTTCCCCACTATTAACATTGAAAATTGCAGTCAAAATATATGTCAATGCCAATCACTATTGAGACTCCCTTACCCCTATTATTGAAAATGCAATCCTTTTCAATATCCATTTTAATGAAAATATTTGCATAGAGCAGTCTTGTATTATCTCTAAAGAACATTATGAGCGTTTTAACACAAGATAAGGCACATGTTTTTCAGCATTAATAATCTAAAACTAATCCTGAGGATCTGCTCCTCCCCCTCAGCAAAATCTGCTTTTTTAATATACCCTGTATTACCTGAAGAAAGCAGAAAAGCAGTATAGAATAAACTCAAATTCTTTAGCTGAACTAAATTCAGAACATTAACAACTCCTGATAATAGTGTAACAAATCCACAGATGAATTAAGTCACTTTCTAAACAAATAATTGTTAGAGGGAAAGAAAAAAAGATGCAGCCAGTAGCACTGTTGATGTTAGCTAAAAGTTCACATACTAGAGATGACATTTATAGTGAGTTTTGCCAAAATAAGCTCCCATCAGAAACAAGGTAGCTAAATTGTGAGGCACTTAAGGTTGACATGAAAAGGAGGAATGCAAGGGGTCTGTTTCATAGGAAACCTGAAGTTGCATATCATATCCTTGTATTAAGCCTTCTATTAAAGTGCTAGAAATGGAGACTTAAAACAAAAGGATTCAAATATAAAATAAGTGATTACAGAGCTTAGTATGCATTAAAACTAAGTGCTTTTGATTCTCATGAATTTAGAGCTTTTTAATAGTTTTTAAAAAATAAAGTCTGGAAATAATCCACATGTGAATCACCTTCCTTGTGCCATCAATGCTATTTGTAAAGTGCCCAATTATTTTCTAAACAACAAAACCATTTGCCTTATCTTATGTTGTATAGCATGACATAGTCTGTAGTATGTATGCAATCCATACTGCAAGGACACAGTCAGCCTGATGGAAAACAGCACATGCATACTTTAAATCAGAAGATTTAATTCCACCTGTCATTCTAAGAAGCCAGGTCTTGAATTACATATCCACCCGTATATAGTGCAACCAGCCTCATATTCTCAAAATGTAATTTAGCTGTTCAAGTCTGACACTCAAAGAGAGACATATCAAGCTTTTCCTCAGAGCAACCTGATGCCCAGACAAAATCACAGATGGAGCTCTAGGTCTGAATCACATAAATCCACTAGATGCCAAATCTGAGAAGGATCTGGGTTCTTTTGGATGATGAAGAGGCTGAAGATGTGTGGCAGTCTGTGCATTACTGATCACATCTAACTGAGAGGGATATGATTCATTTACATTTCCTCCATTGAAACCATTTTGGAACTGGCAGGAAAAAAAGAGAATATAAATGGTTAGTATAGGAAACTAATTTATTAATAAGTATTTACAAATCCTCCTAAAGACACACTGGATAAAATAATCTTAAAATATATTGATTAGCTTTACTTGCTTTTTTAGTAATGATTAATGATAATGTCATTTGCATTAAAATAGGGATTGAATCATCAGTGAACTTTACCCATGTTGAAGTCAATGGGAGCCCTACTTCTGGCTAAGCAAAGAAATAATTCTATTATCTAAAGTGCAATAGAGTTTCTATTTCTAGAAAGTACAGTTTGAGAACTCCTCATTGTCACATCCAGCTGTTCCACTTTAAAAGCAACCTATTTACATCTTTCCGTGTCTGCAGTGGGATCCAGACATAACAGCTCCTCCAGGAATGCACATGCAGTCCTGTCCATAAGCTGAAGCACACTGTGTGCAATCCACTGGCTGAAATGTTGCAGGGTGGGCTTTTTGACAGTCTTCATATTGACAGTGCCAAGTAAGAGCAACGAATGGCTTTCATCAGTCTTAACATAATTGTTCATAGGATTATTTTAATCACCTAATGTAATGCTTCCTGTCATGCTGTGGACTTTATCTACAAAATACTCCATTCGGTCATGCAAAGAAAATACAACCAAGTATTTTAAACATTTCCATCATCTCTTTGGGAGTAGCTTATATCATAAGTACTCATTCCTTCAAGGTTTGTCTTTAAGAACATGTCTTATACATTCATTCATCCATTCATCTATCAAATTATGCTGGGTATTAGCTCTTTTTTCCTTCTATGCAAGCATTGAAATTTGACTAACTGTGCACAAGTCTTCTAACTTTTTAACAACAAGGCTATAGCCATGTGAATTATGTTTTTAATCAAAGCTGACATACTTTTTAGAGTACACACAAGGATTGTTTCTGACAGAAGCAGGTTATTTCAATATTCTTCATTAACAGGATGATCATACTCATAAATATTTTTAAGAATTAAAAATATAGAATCTAGAACATAGATCTAACTATACAACAATAGAATCTAACTCCCATTGATTTCTCCATGAAAAGACTATGGAATTAGAATAATAAGATGACCACAGTACTTAGGAAGGTTTCTCCTGCTTAATAAAGGAATACTGATTCTAAACAAGCAGCCAAATGATCACAGGACTTTCTGTTGTTCTCCATCACTAAAAGTGGTTTCAGACTGCACTGGCTATGCTCCTACCACAGTTACAAGATAGGCAGAAAGTCAAGGCACATGAACACAATAGAGTCTTCTGACTTTCTAATTCCATAGTCTTTTCATGGAGAAATCAATGGGAGTTAGAAGTCTGAAAAGATAACAATCAAGGCTTGTATAGTGACATCTGTCCTCTCTCTGGACTCCAACCACTGACAGGGATGTGAGTGGGCTAAACCCAGCCACCAAGGCTGCCCTGCTTTGGTTTGTCTGTGTGAATGTGGGCTCAGACAGCAGTATCCTATCTGCTTAGTCACATGAGGCTTCTGCTCATGCAGTGGTGCTCAGCCCCATGGAGCACAGGAACTTAACAAGAGGGGCTGAATTTGCCTCTGAACAGCTTAAGTAAGCACAATATTTCCACAAAGTGGCCTTTGATAATTTTTCTTTACAACAAACTAAAAGTCCTATTATTATTGCAGCACAGCATTCTAGTAAATAGGAAGTAATCGACATCATTTTTTCAGAGGTGCTGTCTTAGTCATTAAACTTTGTATAGATAGATGTGAAGTAAATGCAGGGAAGAATATAAAAAGAAGGGTCATAACAAAAATTATAAAGGAAGTGTAACAACAAAATAATCTGCAAAATAAATGCATTTGAAACCAGCCATTAAAAATAAAAAAAAGGAATTGCAAATGTAATGGCTGTTCAAAACCGATGCATCGCATTAGTACAGCTTTTGTGTAAAGAGTAATGCTTTGTTATTGCAAAGACAAACTTGGATGGCCCTGGAGCTGCTCTGCAGCCCTATTAAGAAGCACTGTGAAAGACTAAACATTGAGCACAGCCAGGCAAGGCACAGCCAAGTCGTGCTCTAGTTTGCACATTGCAGTTTCTCAAAGTCACTTCATGCAATTTCAACCTCAGGAAGAATCCATTCATCATGCTGAACTGTGCTATAATTTAGGTAAATTTCTGCAATTGCATTCTTTTCAGCAGTGAAGCAGTTTTAAAAAGGGAATGTTTCATACTTGTATAAAGCATGTAAAAAATGGATATGCTCTAATTGCATTCCTTACCTTTGTCTTGCATAGGTTAAATGCCACTTTAATACTTTAATTCTGTAAATGCTTATGCATGTGCATAAGCACTTGCAGGATCAGTACTTCAGAACATTAACTCATTGAGATACAACAACAAAAAATAAGAATTGTGAGTCTGTACTGTAGAAGCATTAACAGAAATAAAGGCTACAACAGAAAGTACTGTAACAAAGATTATTCAGAATCAGGAACTAGCAATTGAATTTTGTTTCTAAGTTAATTTTACCAATGAAGAACAGTGTTTACAACTGTAGTCTCTACTACAGCTGGGATCCTCTCTTCTATGACTTTTATTGTGCATTCTCCTTGGTGAAAAAGGACCAGATTATTTTACTGCCGCTATAACTTTTTCCAACTCTTATTTCTTCTGCAGTTAATTTAGACAGCAGCTTCAGGAACAAGCTGGCTTTCACTCATAGCAATATATAAAAACTTGGTTTTGCAGTAACATTGTGTATAGGAGTGAAACAGTTCATATTTCAGGCCATTTTTATGATACTATAATCTAATGTTTTCACTAATCCTAAAATCATTGAGGAATATGAGTAGCTAGACAATATTCACATTTCAAAACCTTTTTGGTTTTGATCCTTACAACATATTTAATGAAAATGAAATGAAATAAGCAAACTCAATTCCTCTATAAAGGGTTTACTAGCAAATTCCAAGACTTGGAATTTGCTAATATATTGGCTCCTATCAGGAAAATTACTGGTATAGTACCACAGACTAGACAATTCATTCTTGATTAATACTGCTAAAGAGAGTTATCAGACTGCAGGTATACGTATATATAAACTTGACCAAATGCAATTCTCTTCACTCTAATGAACAAATAAAGCAAAGACATCCACACACTGCTAAGCCATCCATGTCAAACTCAGCAATTCAGTCAAACTCTGCCCCCCAGCAGTCACCCAAACCAATATAAACTCGATTAAAAGTGCAAGCAGTGCAGCAATGCTGTTTACCATACCTTGTTCCCCAAGGGTTGTTGCTGTTGATTTGTCATCACAGGATCATACTGCATTTGATCCATGCAGCTGGGCTGTGCCTCCTGCGTGCACGGGTACATGGAAACGGCGCCTGCATAGCAGGTTTGAGGAGTCAGCATAACTGACTCAGAGTTTATCCCACACTCAAGGCTTTCAGGGACTTGCTGCAAACAACTGAGAAAATCCTCAAAGTTGGAAGAAGCAGAATAGGTCGATCCATCAAAACCTGCTGCAGGAAAATCCATTTGAGAAAAATTAGAGAGCTGTGGCATCATCGTTGTGGGCTGCTTGTAAGGAACAAAGTCTTGCCTACACTCATAAGGGGAAGTGTTAACTTCTGATTTGTAAGAGAACTCAGATGTACTGGCATGCATGCCAGGGAACATGTATTGCTGGGGCTGCTGCTGTGAGCAGCTAAGAGGCATGCCAGAGCTCCAATTTGTGAACATCCCATTGACTTGCATATGTTTCATCTTTTGACACAGCTGCTGTTGTTGCTGCTGCTGCTGTTGTTGCTGTTCCACAAGCTGCTTCTGGTGCTGATGAAGTTGATGTGGACCTAAGTCTTGCTGTACCATGCAACCTTCATTCTGGACCAAGGGCTGCTGCTGGTTACAGTCTGAATATAAGAAGTCAGATTTATTTAAGGAATCCTGAACATAAGTCAGGATTTCGTCAGTTATGTTGATGTCCCCAATATCATCCACATCAGATAATTCAGTTTTAAAAAACTCCTCATCCTGCTGAATACACTTTAGATCTTCAAAGTCAATACCCAGATTTTTCATGATGCTGTACAAATCACTGGTTTTGTTATCCTGAAAGAGTGCTGCACTGTCTTCAGGAAGTGGAACAGTACTGTCCTGGGAACACTCCATCAGCTCCCGTTTGAGAATGTTGTGATTTCCAGCAGGTAGGAGATTGTCTGTCCAGCCACCGCTAACAACACCACCCAGCTCATCCCTACTGTCTGCAAAGAAGTTCCGCTCAAAAGAAAGTTTATGTGAGGCTGGAGGGCAGAGATAAACAGACTCGTCTTGCCTTAACATGACACCTAGGAGGGAGTTTGGATCCACAGAGTCATCGTGTAGCGTTGCTTTGGCTCCTTTTCCCACTGTGCTTTTACTCTTCGGTTGAGAGGGGTCCATAAGGCTTGACATAGGGAAAGATACTTCATACAACACAGCCTCTCCCGTGGCAAACATGAAGGGCAACTTCATGTTACGCTTCCGTAGATGTTCTGCCCCTTCTTCATCTCTGAAAATAAATCAGATATGTGGCATGGTACTGCAGTAATAAACAGTTATTCTAATCTTTTTGTCCCATGGAATTAACATAAAAAATGAACTATTCGATTTGTAGGCATTTTTCGAATTCCTACCTACTCCAGCTCAACTTGGCTGAGTTAAACCAAGAGGCAGATTATGAAATAAGGAGCTTATGACTGTAATACCACATTTACATATTGCATTTGTAATTAAATCTAGACAGTATACACCATTTTCTGTGCATTATGGGCCGAAATGAAAACAAGTGGGCTTTGTTCCATGCATTAAGCTTTTCTTGGTATAGAAAGTAAATCAATACTTGAAGTATCAGTTTTTCTCCACTTTACAGACTCCTTAGCAAAAATTATTTAATCTATTTAACAAGGCTGAATTCCATATTATGCAGAACTTTGTTCGGTACTAAAATTCAGGACTAAATTTGTTATTTGTTACTCCTTCTACACAAACGCAGTTGGATTTCTCAGGTTTTGCTCATTGGGATTGAATATAGTGCATAGAATAACTTCATGCTTAGACCTTTTTCTTTCTAAGAAATATATTTGTCTGAAGTTTTATGCAAAAGAACTATGCCACAAGTTCTGAAATACCAGAATTTTCTACATGTTTGTTAGCAAGAAAGAATTTGGGGAATTTGGAATATAAAGGGTAATAATTTAAAACCAGAAATTCCTTTGTGAACATAAACAGCCTCAAACTACGTTTTAGTTTGGAAGTGTACTACTTTATGAACCAGTGACTTACGTAAGAGGTCTTTGCGTGGCAATGATGTAATCTGGTCTTCCATTTTTGTAGACAAGCCGTGCATTTGCCTGCACCCAGGCCCATCGATTTTCTTTGGTTAAAAGCCTAAATACAGTCATTCCACTCTCACCTGTCTTCATCACTAAAGAGTAAGCACACTGTTTACTGTCCAGCAAATAAATCATGAAAACCTGTATGTCATGAAAGAAATCTCATTTATAGAAAAATTTTACAAATCTCATGTCCTCAATCGCCCAACTTGGTGTGGCACTAACGCATCCCCAGTGAATCAGGATGACTGATCACTTCAAGATGTCTAATTTACTCATAAAATAGAAGTCAAAACTGCAAGATATCTGCTACAGATTAGCAGCATTCTATATGGGGCTTTGTCCATTATTTCTTCAATAACAGAAATTAATAAATACTAGAACACGTAAATGACAAAAGCCCAAGTCTCTCTCGCCTTCATAAAGCGGCTATTACTTTAACATTTAGAAAACACATTACTTCTGAATGCAATCCTTTCACATTTTAACTGGTTTATGCAGAGGTACTTAAAAACCTTATATTTCATTCTCACTACCACTAACAATTTGGGTTTGTGTGGCCAGGTTTTGGTAGTGACAGGGAGGGCTACAGGGGTGGCCTCTGTAAGAAGCTGCTAGAAGCTTCCTCCATTTCCAGCAGAGCAAATCCCTAGCAGCTCCAAGGTGGACAGGCTGCTGGGCAAGTCTGGGACAATTAGAAATTGTGATAATGCCTCTGTGATAACATTTGAGAAAAAAAAAGTTATTGTGTAGATATAGTTGTGGCCAGAGGTTGAGAATATGGAAAGAACAATTCTGCAGACACCAAGGTCAGTGAGGAAGGAAGAGCAGGAGGTTTCAGAGCTGAGGCTCCCCTGCAGCCCATGGTGCAGAGGCTGTGCCATGCAGAGCCATGGGGATGCAGAGATCCATCCACCTGCAGTCTGTGGAGGGGACCCCTGCCAGGGCAGGTGGATGCCTTACAGGAGGCTTGAACCCATGGGAGGCCAGTGCTGGGGGAGGCTCCTGGCAGAGACTTGCAGACCCACAGAGAGAGGAGCCCATACTGAAGAAGGTTTCCTGGTGGAAGGTGTTTTTATGGCCTTATTTTACTTCCCATTATCCTGCTCTTTTGCTAGTAATCAATTAAATTAATATGCCCAGATGAAGTCTGTTCTGCCTGTAACAGTATTTGGTGAGTGATCTCTCCTGTTCCTTATCTCAATCCATGAATCCTTCATTACATTTTCTCTCCCTAGTCCAGTTGTGGAGGGCTGAGATGGAGAGGCTTTGGTGGGTGCCTGGCATGCAGCCAGGGTCAACCCACTAAAGTAATTTTGGTGCCAAAACACAGAATCATGAGGATGCTGAGATACGGAGAGTAACCAGGAGAGGTAAAAGGCAAAACAAGTACTGAACAATCTTAGAGAGTAAAATTATCATGGGGAAGTTTTGTTGTAATTGTGGTGAAGGGACAGGGGCATATTTTGTGCAAATTTTCCAATTTTGTACTGTGTTGTGATGAAGTTATCTTGGTATTTGTGTGGGGAGTTTTAGTTTATTTTGGTTGGTTTTTTTGTTTTAAGTGAAGGTAGTGTGATGAATGTGAATTTTAAAGATAATTCTTAAATATGTGATTCACAGAGGCAAGGAGTGGAAGTAATACAATTGCTCAAAAACCCGGCACTTCTAGACAGAAAAACTAAATAAAATGTATTAGGAAAGTCTAAGAAGCTAACCAAAAATGCTTGCTACAAAACCTATTTTCTTTATTTTAATCTTAGCATTAAAAATGTAGCAAAACCAGTTTTAAGAGAAAGTTTCAAACCATTCAAATTTCAGCCCCTTCTACTCTGGAACCATCTCTTTTTCTTTATGAAAGAAACAAAACTACTGATAAGCAACAGGGACTGAGCTACACCTGAAGCAGAAAACATGTTTAAATAGGCTGAGAACAACCTGCTGAGGGGCATTATCCAATTGTCTGTGAGGGGATGAGAGAAAAAAATTTGAACTTTTCAAGAGAAGTAAGTGGAAAGAAGTACCATAATATTCTGAAGATGATTCTGTAAGTTCCAAAGATAACTCTGTTAAAACTAACAGCAAAAGTAAAAAACAGAGTCCCCTAAATAGTTATACATCAGGTAGCTGGTGCTTATTTCCTCAACACTTTACTTCTCTCCATAATTGTTACTTAAACTAGATCAAGCTGCCAAGAACCAAACCCAGAAATGTTTGGAAGCTAGGATGTTAAATCAGAGATCAATTTGTGGTAAAAATCTTACACTAGTATCAAAAGAAAATGCTTTAATTATCTTGTTAACAGGAAAGCTATCCTTGGTAGTCCCCTTGGCCAAAGAAAGTTCTTGAAATAGCAGAAGTTGAGTTGAGCAGAGAAGCAAGTGAGAAGAGCAAGATGTGACAGAGACCAGAATATTTATCCCAAAAGGGTCTAAATAGGAATATTAACCATTTCTTTAATCAGTGTAAGTTTTTAGAAGTACAAGTAGAACATATGAAATGAACAGTGTTCTTTTTGTTAAAAACCTCTTTTTTTTCTGTAATATTGCATTCATACTGAAAAAATACTCCATGCTTTGATTTTACAGCCTTTTTTAGGGAATGAAACTTACTTCGGATGTGATTTTCAGCACAATAGAGCATGTCAGCTGCATGAATAAACTGGTATCCTGTTCCTCTCATACACAGCTCTGCTTCAGTGTATCCCAGGACAATTTTTCCTCTGGAAGATAAAACCAAAAAATTGCAACACAGCTGATGGAGCAACTCACAGAATGAACATCAGCAAGTTAATTATGGCTAGAGTATTTCAGATGCAAACTACAGTTTGTGGCTATATCAATTATACACGGAAGCGGAACAGTTCCAATAAAACATAGAGTCAACAAATTATAAAACTTTAACCAAATCTGCCAGGTTGCCTTCAGTGACTAGGACTGGGTTCACAAAACCATTAGATCATAAAAAAGAGTGGATGCCTACAGCCAGACTCTCAAATCCATACTACTGAACATTTTCACTCCTAGCAGGCAGCTCCCATTACTTCCAAAGAAAGACAGTGCTTTCTTAGCCCTGCTTCTTATCATTTACCTATAGGTGCTTGTGTGCAGAATTAAATAGGAGTTTAATTTCAGTCATCTAAAACTTCTTGTCTAAATTAGAATTTTTAGTAGCTTAATGTATCTCAGAGCTACATCCCCTTTGCTATTGAGTGGTATGAGACCCCTGTGTTTGCATTTAAAGAAGATATGACTCAGAGGTCATGATTGACCCTGCAGCTAAAATTAGAGTACTTTACTAGAGGCTGGGGAGACGAGACACTTAACAGAATTCATGTGATCGCTGTGCGATATCTGATAAAAATACATGGTCAAAGAGAGACAAACAGGATTTGAAACAAAGACACAGAGATGCAAAGACGAAAGGTAAAAAAAGGGGGAAAGTAGAGATGGGAAACAATATACATAAAAGTATTTTTTTCAAGAGAATAAAAACATCAAACAGAAAAGAAACACTTGTGTTAACATTTTGTTGTTTTTTACTTGTATCAGCTTAGAGAAATAAAACATTTTGGTCTCTCAGTAGACGAAACACCAAGTAATTCAATTCTGTCCTGTAAGTAGGCATGGAAACCCATGTGAGAGACTCCACTGAAAATCAAAGCATTCTCAGTCAAAAGTAGAAGGGAGAGGAGAAGGAAGGAGGCCAGAGGCTCTTATTTTGATAAAAAAAGCATCCTAATGGGCTTCTTGCTGTGTTGAAACAATATTTTGATCTAGTACTGCAGTAGTGTTTCCAAATTTTACATAGGAAAAAGAATGGTTTGGAAGTGGGTAACATCATACTACAAAAAAAGTATTTAAATTCTGTTGAAGGAAAATACATTTCCATTGTATTTTACACGTATTTGAACTGAAGGAGAAATGTGGAATGAAATTAAATACTTGCTCTATCAGTTCTAAAACTAAATTTCAAACCAGATTTAATATGAAACTATTCTTCTTCCCTAATTCATTAGTATGCCGTCTTTCAGTTTTTTATTTTGCATTGGTTTTGCAGGTTTTTGCTTTGTTTTTCTAACAACTGAGAGTCAGAGAGCAGCATGCCATTCCAAGGAAATAGACTATGGCAAACCCATTTCTCTTTACCTGATAGCAGGGCTGCAGAGAAAAACTTCATCAGCTTCTAAACTGCCATCACTGAAACAGTTTATATAACAAAAGAGTAGCCTGCTTTATATTTCAAATACCTACCTGAAACCTATTTCATCAGCAAATTATTAGACAATTACAGAGAACAATTTACACCTACTTTGCATCACAGCCAGTGGGTGTGAAATCCAGTTTGTGTTTAGTTCTGAAGATGAAGTTTTTGGTTCGTATCTCAAGGATGGATGGTGGCTGCAGGGGAGTGGCTACTGCAAACAGTGCAAGCTGAGGAGACAAAGCAGCACCATCCTTCCCTTTCTTGTTTTGTCCATGGAGAAACTTCAATCGTCCTTGAAAATTCATAGCCTTAGGATGAGGAAAAAAGTAATTATTAAATGCTGGAGATATTTAAAAGCAAGATATTTTTGTTATGATGTAAATATGTATTTTTCATTTTTTTTAAGATCCATCAAATTCATTCATCCATTTTATAGGATGGCATACAAAAAAGTCAGCTAACAAGTACAGAACATGTTGTTATACCCCTGACTGTGTCACTTCAATATCTACTAATAAAGACACTGAAAAGTTAATTAATGGGAAGACTATTCTGTAAAAAACAAAAAAAATAAACATATAGTATCACATATCAACTGGGGCTTCTAATATTCTAATGAACATTCGTGCATATAATTATATCATTATTTCTCTTGCAAATTTGTATGTTCAATTTTGCAATTCTAAAGAATTCTATTTTATAAGATACCACATAGGGGGTGATAAACCCTTACTTGTTTTAAAATATAAATAATTTACTAACAAAAAATGCATTAAAAAGAGCAAGCACAAACTTTTCCAATTAAGGAAAAACTATGGTCCTCTTAATTATCATAATTTATTGCATCTCAAGATACTCAACTTGCTACAAGAAAATACTCCTGTGATGCATTTTAATCACACAGCATTTTACAAAAGCAGTTGCTTATTTGCATTTAATTGGGGAAACTTGGCCATGAGAGAGAACCTGCACCTGGTTGTGACAACAGTCTTAAAAGGGAGACAATCAGTTCACTAACTGAAACATTGTGGTTCAAGCAGCCCAGATAGCTTTGGAGACTTACAAATAAACTAAGTTACTGCACCTCTTGTTAAGAGGCGCAGATTTCCAACTTTTAAGCATATGTGGAGGTTTTTATGGAACTCCATACTCACCAGGAATCCAGATGAATTATCCAGGAGGCATCGTAACCTGCAGATGAAATTCCTTTCCATAAAGGAAGAATTCTCTGGAGGAAGTTGGTCTGGGTTATAATAGGTTGCTGGCTGTGAAAAGCCATTATCTCCTGCAGGAAAGGATTATTTATAAGGATTATTTTTAGAAGAACACCTAGAGGAGGCTATCTATAACAAACGATCTTCCTTCTCATAAACAATGCGTTAGGTCGTGACCTGAGCAAGAACAATGTAAACTGGAAACATCCTCAGAACCTATTATTATTGCAACACTGAGGTTAAACACCAATTCTTCTGATGGGATTATGTTTTACAGGCTATGGGATTTGAAAACTGAATATAATTTCAGGATTTGGGGTTTTTTTTTTACATTGGGGCTTTTGTTTGTTTGGGTTTTGAATTCATTCATTATTTTATCCACAGCCTAGATTCTGGATCAGTTGCAAAGAGCAGAGCTCTCAGCAGAGAACACACCGGTGTTTCTACAATGGTAGGATCTCCAAAAAGGCACAGCAACTGCAGGAACTGAGTATTGAAAAACTCAGTATCAAACTGTGAAACTTACTTTCCAGACAGCCAGGTGAAAGCAGTAGCAATAAATAAAAATCAGCAACTTTAGGAAACCAAAAAATCACCATTTTTCTACAATGAAGGCAAAATGAGCCTACTAAATAGTGAAAATATTTCTGGGTTCTGCTGATCAAAACACCATAGTTACCTCTCCAGGTACACCTGGAGTACTTGTGTTCTGCAGTTGTTTGTTTTACAAAATACTCAAAACCATGATTGTAAACTAGGATACCAACATGGTATCCTTCCACCTTGTCAGGACAAGCATTTGCTGCTAAGTGGTATTTACAAAACCGACTTAAACATTTGGAATATAAAGTAAAAACAGAAGGTAAATCAATAAACCTCTGATAAAATACATATGTACTACATGAGACTACATATACACAGATGTCAGAGCATGATTACTCACAGCAAATTTAGCAAAGCAATCTTGTTTGCAATACATATAAAAAACCAGTCATACCCTAGGAATTCATACATGCAGAAAATTGAGAAAAATCCAGCTTAAAAAGACATTTTTATAATAAAATAATCTTTAATTTAAAAAAATAGTCCATGTACTCTTAGAGAACTGATTATCAAGTATGGACAAAAATAATACTACAGATTTTAACAACCCATATTGACTTTCCAGACATGGAGATGAGGACAGGGAGAGCATGTCACTTAATAACACACCACATTTTATTTTATGGAATATAATTCTGTCTCATGAACAGCTGGAAAAACTTACAGATAGGCTCAGAGGTTAGTACACTAGCAAAACAAACCCAAAGGTAAACAAATCATTACCAAAAGCCAGTTCTATTTAATCTCCTATGAATTCAAGGGACTGAATTGGAGCCAAATGAAATTGCTGATACCTTACCAATAGGCCTTCCAACCTAAGGCCATCTAAATCCTACAAGTATGCTGAGTTATCTAGCTTTTCAGATAAAATGAAGAGATATCTTTTTTTTTTTTCTTAAAAGAACTGCTATGCAAGGTCAATTTTTGCGGAATAAACTTCAAGGTATGGAGAAAAAGAAACCTTTTTCATCTGGTAGTGTGATGAAAAGGGATAATCTGAAATTACAGCCATGTAAAGAACTGTATTGGCCAGTCACCATTATGAGCAGATCCCACAGGCAGATAAACTCAGGTATTTGTAGTCCAAGACAGTAACCATATAACTTTGAAATTACAAAATAAGAAATTCCCACACTTGTCATATGGACAGTTCTCAACAGACAAAGCAAACTTCCTTACTTGCTACAGCTGCAGTTTTTTCATTATTATAAATTGCTTAACTGACAGTGATAATTTTCAACCCTTCTGAGATGGTCCTTCTCTAGGAAGCTCTCTGAAGAAGCACTGATTAGGAAGAAAGAGCACCAAGGAAACAGTATGCAAATCCTAAATAATATTTCAAAGATGCCAACTCTGACTGGGTGCAGATGTAGTACCCAATAAGCAGTGCCAGGGTTTCTGCTGGCATCCTCAGCACAGTTAGGTGTGACCTTCAGCATTTCTGCCACAGGAGAATCTCGGTGTTATTCTTTGGGTAAGTATAGAGCTGAAATTTGAAGGTTCAGCAAATCCAGCTGGATGCTGTGGAGTTTGTCAAGTTCCATAGTAAAATGCACAGTTCTCAAGAGTGAGCAAAGCTGTTGTGAAAGAAGTGGCTCCCAACAGGAAGGGGAACAGAACTCAAAACAGGAGGCAGCGGGCTTCAAAACTGAGCCTCCTACACTTGTGAAAGCGACACTGCTGCACTTTTCCAGGCAGACAGAAGGCAGGAAGGTTTTACTGCCAGGATCTTGAAGTGACTCACTGTAAGAAGGCAAAGAATCTTGCAGAGCACCTACAAACCCTAGAGCAAAACTACCAGTTAACACTACAGGGGTTAGAAGCCATATCCCTCACAAAGTTCCCACTGGATCTCATCAGTCCCATGGAGCAACGTGCAGAACATGCAGTGCATTAAGTGCTTGCCTTTAAACTCAAGACCATATGGTTGCACAACACACCAAGTTCAAAAGATAATCCAGACTTAATGCCCCAAAGCAGATATTTGGGACTGAAAAAATCAGAATTTTGCAAACTTCTCTGGGAACAAGTCAAGGACCGGGAGGCATGTCTGGGAAGCACAGTAACAGCTGAGGAAACCAGTGGTCTAGCAGCATACCAGAGTACTGAGTGAGAAATAACTAGCCCAGGCTAACTGAAGCAGAATCAGTTCCCAGACTCAGGATGGAATCTGTGCCTGAGTCTGAGATATCTATAAATATCTACATAATGCCTGCTGAATGCATTAAAAAAGAAATGGATTAAATTAGCAAAAATGGAGGGGATCCTTATGGTCATAGCACTATCCTTTGCTATAATTCTGAATTCAGTTTAAAATCCTCAACATCCAAACATTTTTAGGCCACTTGAGGCTCAAAAGTCATCATTGAATTATAGAATGGTTTGAGATAGAAGAGACCTTGGAGATCACCTAATTCCAACCCCCCTGCCATGGACAGGGACACCTTTAGCTAGACCAGGTTGCTCAAAGACCCATCCACCCAGTCCTTGGATGCTTCCAGGAATGGGGCACAATTAGCAGCTTTTAGCAACCTAGAAACACTACATACAAAACAAGAAATTGTTTGTAATCCTGCTCAGCACATCCTAATGTTCAGTCAAATCTGAGGCCAATCCAACCTGGTGTCATTCTTTTCAAATAACTTTTTCTAAATTCATATGCACTTGCTTAAGGTCCATAGAACACAATTTCATTCTGAAGCAAGCAGGATGAAAATTTGGTTTCTGAGAACTGCACTCTTTGCTTTACTGAATTCTGCTATTACCTAGCTGTGCAGCCGACCTGTGGAGATTGATCTAGAGATGATGTAGCAACGTTGACTGCTAAATGAAACACTGAAATATACTGAGGTGTGTTACAAACACAGTAATCTTTCTCTACTAAATCATGGCATTTCCGTACTCTTTTTTTTTTCAATTACTTAAAGATTTATTTTTAAAAATGGACTTGTTATGGATTAATAAATGCCCTATAATCATGTCACAGTAACAGAAGATTTTATCTACGTGTTTAAAAAACTGTTGTGCAAAGGGAGCATTAAAATGGAGCAGTTGTCTCAATGGCTTTGTTGTCATTGTGATGCAGGCACATGCTTCCTGGATTACACGTAACCTGCACCTACAGATCTTTGCTCTGACACACATGCAATATGTTTCACCTTAGCTGTTTCTCAATATAGCAGCTCACTTAAGCATCAGCCAGTAACATGTGACAACTCTGCTCTAACATGCACACTTCTTGATCTTAAAGGCTCATCTATTTAATTTTTTTATTTCTCTTCCCCTTTTATCTCCAAGAGAAGTACTGCTCTATGTGGCAATGAATGCACTATTCCCTATAGTAACACTGTAATTAGCATATCCTTGGACTGATCAGTCTAAGAAACATTGTCACTTATACTCCAAATAAAGTTTTCCAATTTAAAGTATAATTAGTACTTTAATGCTATGAATAACAGTGCATATTTAAAGTGCAAAAAATAGTAATTGTCACTGTTGACTAAATGTGCCCATAAAATTAAAATAAATTTGAAAGATGCTATTTCTTCTGTTATTAATCTAAAATTATCTTTCTTTTTTTTTTTAATAACAAATTAAAAAAGCCCAAAAGCAAACAACTAATCTGACAGGCAAACAATAAATTCTGTTCTCACCTTGTACACTTGGTCCAGAATCTCCTGACTGAGCAGGATTTAATGCCCAATGTAGCTGTCGTTGAAACTCAGGTCGGTCTTCTGTGTGAATCAATTCAAATACACTCTGGTGTATAATATCTGACTGTGAACAAAAGGAGAAAGGTGAGAGAGAACAACAATAAGAAAATTATATCACAATATGGTACAAGTTGTCTCATTGACAACACTGTTATGGATACAGCAAAATCCATTTTTCTCAGGGATAAATACATACAACCACATGCAGGTGGCAAAGCTTCGTGAAACAATTTTTAGCAGCGCAGAGAACAGCTCAATTACACACATGACTATAAGCATGGGAAACAATAATAAAAAATATTGCCTTAGAAAAAGAAGTTCCATTATGTCAACTATTTCTTTACCTGCTTCTACCTAAGAAGACCTGGAAATGCTATGCTTAGGTTGTGTTTAAGTTATTTAACTTCATATACTGGTAAATAAAGTATTTACCACATAGTATTTGACTTGACCCACTATAGGTGCTACAGGAATACAAAAGGAGCTAAAGACCCTGAACCAAACTAACAAAACTAAGCCAAGCAGATTATAAACAGTGAATTTGCCTGAAAGCTTTGTCCCTTCTTAAGGATGCATTAAAACATGTAATTATAAAGCCCTTATTCCAATACCAATTGTGTGGTTAGGAATGTGATCTAAATGGCAAAGGCTCAAGAGCAAGGATTAGTGCTTAAAGGAATTTAAGGGGAAAAAACCCATCCAAAATAGTCAAGAAAAGACTCAGTTGACTGACAAGAGTTAAGATCCTGTTTCTTGGCATGTTTCAAAAACTCAACCATTATACAAGCAGAAAATACTTAAATAAAACATAGATCTAATGTAATTGAGATGAACTGGCAGAAGCAGAAGCCTAGGTCAAAATTCGCTATGACGAATTTCATAAAACAATCAGTATTTTCCAGAATAAATTGCCAGAAATGCTAATTTTTTGTAACTTTAAGACTTTACTTCTATATCATGTACTTGATTTACTAGCATTACCTCATGAATGTTACACCCCATTTGTTTTCCAAGCTTTTTTCTTTTTTTATTCCCCAGAATTGAAGTAATATATAAACCCAGGAATAAAAATGGGGTTTTTTGAAATATTTTCTTTTAAACAAACTTTCCCCAATCTCTTATCAGTTACGTGAAATTGAGGACCAAGCAAGGTTTCCTGCTATGTTTAGACAGCAGCTGAATCTATCAATATGCAGTATTCATGGATATACTTGGAGAACTATAACTATCATCTTCACATAAAGTAATCCCAGGAGTTTTCTAACAAAGGCAGAATTTGCCTGCTATGCCTCAGTCTTTAGTACTTTGGCACCTGGTTTTCAAGCCCAGTGAAGTCGGCCATATGTAATCTGCACCATAAATAGTAAAAAACAAATGCTTGACTTGAAATTAATAATTGAATAAATAAACATGAGCAAGAGAACAAATTCCAAAAATACCAAAATCAGTCACTTGATATTTATAAAGCTCAAGACATATGGAAATAATTTTTCATGAAAGGATTCTATTAAAATAATTACCTTCCCATTGAATTATGTCTCACTCAGCATCATAAACTGGGTAACACCACAGTATAAATTTCAAACAGTTGTTCCAGTAAAGAATAATTAGGTGTGAAAATTTCCTATCTTGCCTAACTCAACTTTGGAAATTATATTCCTGTTGTGCTTGGCCTGACACCCTGGCTATGGAAGCTGATAGAAAATATGGTTTCAGAAAATATGATTTAAAAGTAATTCAACCTAAAGTACCTAACTGAGAGTTTTATTACAAAAAAATTTTAAGGCCCTAAATATGAACACTGATGTTCCCTGAAATTAGGCAAAACTTTTGAAAAAAATAGAAGCAAAAATAAACTTACTTGTTGGAATCCCAAGTAGTCTTGGATAGTGGAAGAGACGTAAAACACCAGAGCATCTGCTGTAACGACTAACACAAATCCATTTAACGCCTGGGGAAGAAACACAGCAATCTGTCAGCTTCAGAGATAAAATTCCAGATAATTATTGTGTCTCTATGTTTACCTATACTGTAGTCCCCCAATAAAATGTGAAGCATGCAAAAGCACATCATTATCTGACAGCACAAACAGGATTCCTCATTGCATCTCTCTATAGTGTAAGTGTTAAAATGAGGAAAACTGGATTTAACGAAAAAACCCTAACTTTATTTTAAAATTCAGCGGAGAAGACAATCCGTGTTGATGATTTTTCAATACCCTTGATTGAAGAAGACAAGGGACATATATAAAGAACTATAAGTTTATCTAACATCAAACACATTTCACAATGTTTGTGTGGCTCAAGCCTTGGATACCCCCAGCTGCCCACAGCACAAACGAGAGCCATGTCACAAACCCAGTCCCAAAATCCATTCATAGTGCAGACAGCCCACTGTGGACAGGAAATCAAGATATCAAGATCCCCTATATAGTCCAAGAAAACATTTTATAGTTTACTTAAAATAGAAAACCTCTGCAAAAGCAGACTGTTGCAAGTAAACAATGTTTTTGAAGAGATTTCCCCCTCGGTGGAGCAGCAGACCAGGCGGCTCCACACTCAAAGTCACGCAAAGGGCATTTATCTGCACTCCAATCAATAGGGTCCATGGCAATTGTTGTGATAGCAAACATTTGTACAAAAGTACATTTGTGACTTGGCAGCTCATCTGAAAGGTGCCGATTTACTTCTATGGATCTCAGTCAAGATTTAACAAAAGGCAGTCTCTAGGGGCTGGATTGAGTATATTGCGCCACTTAATTTCCTCAGCTGCATTCAAAGGCAAATTTGGCCAGCATACTCAACACTATTTTTTTTAAAAAACCTCTTTATTTATGCAGAATTTTTGTACATAGAAAATGCAAAGTAGGTGAAGGATATCATATATCCTACTGCAACAAAGTAAAAATATATAAATGAAATATCTTCTTAAATGACTGGTCTTTAATTGCTGTGAACCGCTCGAATTTTATGTGTAGATATTATTATTATTCTGCTCTCATAAACAATTGTTAGCTCAATAAAAACTCCTCGTAGGTTTAGTAAATTTTAAGTGAATAAAGAATGAGATAAAAATCAATAATAATCTGGAATTAAATAGCATGGCCAATCCAAGAAATGTTGAGTGGTTACACAGAATCCTTGGTTTTGATGAAGCTCGCAACAATTCCATGGTTGCAGAATGCTGCAGTGGCAGGTGTCCTCTGCTGACCTGTTCTGCAGAGCATTTCACCTCAGCTGCTTGACACAAAACATCTGCAAGCTGCACAGCATTTAACTGTGTCTCAAATGTTAAAATTGGTTATTCTGGTCCGTTTCATACAGAGCTACCTACACTTTCTGTGCCTGGAATTCAATCATATTTTGCACTGGCCCTGGTACACAGGTCATCTCGAACCAGGATTGTTACTGAGATAGCAATAAGCATTATTTAAGCCAAAAATTCTGTAAAATGCATATATCTGGATAGACCAGTAAGTGGGAGAAGAGTTCTAATGGAGGTTTTTGCAATATGCAATCCAAAAATAATTATCTGAAAACACATAATGAAATTTCTCAGTGAGTGCATTATTCTGGAGAACTGAAGATGATATTTGTGCCTCTAAAAATACTCTCAATGCTCCTAATAAAGAGGTAATTACAAAGTTGTTCATTACTGTTGAGAATTAAGTTTTTAAAATTTCTTAAAGGTTATAATTTTTCTTTCACTTTTTTTTAATAAACTTGTTTGGGCTGCAATGGATTTTGTATTTAAAATAAGAATTTGAAATAATTTAAATGATTTTAAATAGCTTGCTTTTAAGAAAGACACATTTATGTATTTGATCTCTGCTTCCACAATATATTGAATTGGTAAGACAGTTTCTATGTTGGAAATTAAAGACAATTTTCTGTTTGTTAAGAAGCAAGCAAGAACAACTGATGAACAAATAAAAGCAATTGCAAACAATAGGGTGTTTATTTGTATCACCTTGGAAAAACCAAAAAAAGTAGGGAGATAATAAAAGGAAAACATTCATCATCAGTTATCATTTATTCACCTGTGTAACGCAAAACACTTCTGAGCATAAGTGGAAGGGAAGGACTTTGCCAATATTTACAACTTACTGCTTCCCACTATCTTCTGGAAAATTCCTAATTTCATCACACTCATGACTTGTTACATAACCTAAGAAAACTCTATCTACATATTCATTCTCATAAATTTTTTCATATATATAAAATATTTACAAAACAAATTCATTTAAGAAATTTGGTTCATTTACTTCCCAAGAGCGGCAGAATTTTCAGTAATAACTATATCACCCACCTCATTTTCATACTGTAAAAGAGTTTCCTCATATCATTTCCAGTCAGAAGTCATAATCCCCCCCTCATATTTCAGATTAAATAGATGTCTCCAATATAAACCATATATTTCAGCTTTTTAGGTTCTTTTATGTTTAAAAAAAACCTGCTCACTGGCAGTAACTCCACAGCAGTTCTTTGTCATACTCTATTAAGGCTAGAAATAAATGTCCTAGTTTTTTAAGTTGGTTAGGAAAAAAAATTCAATTAGCAGCAATTTAAAACAATTGTTTTGTGGGATTCTAAGAACTTGTTTTCATTTTTAGTCTTTGGACTCTGAAATTCATTTTGTTTGAAGGAAACAATTGGCTCTGACTGAACAATTTGCCACTTCTGGTAGATACATCAGTGAGGAACCTGTGTAGAAGACAGACTAACAACATATTTCAAATGGAGCTGTGGGTCTCCATAAAATCCATTCTGTGAAACTAGTTAGAACATAGTAATACCTATATTTGTAATTTCTTGAGTTCAATCTGGACTTGGTAGTATAGAATTATCCATAAGCTTTGACACTCTAGGATATTAAAACAGGCTAGACAATTAAAAAAAAACTACAGTTTTTAAATAAATATTTTCCATTAGTTCATATAAAAGCTATTCAAAGTATTTTAAAATTTGTCCTGAATCTACACTCTGCATGCTGAGTTCTTTCAAACTGAGAAAGCATGATCTTTCAGCAAGCCCAAGGTCTTTGAAGTTAAAAATTGTTTCTTTCAGACAATTAGTCACCAAATTTACAGTAAATCAGTAACTTATCTGTCCCTTATAAAAACTGTTCCTTTATATTAACATCTTTATTAACAACAGATGCAAAGAGATGGGAACCTCCCCAATAAATTACTTAGAAACACTGAAGAGGAGCCAATATTCTAACATTCACTCTAAAGTCTCTACTACCAAAAAAAAAAAAGGCAAGATAATATTACCCTAAAGAAAATGAGGAAAGAATTTTACAATAAGAAAACTTTTTCTATCTCATCACTGGGCATCTAGTATGGTAAATACAGGTGTTTGGTTTTTTAAACTTAAGTCTTTGTAAAATATGCCTATTGCAAAACATACCTGCAATAGGAGTTCTCCTTCCAGGATCTGCATCCCTTCTCCACACTTTCCTGTTCTAGATGTTTCCTGAATGCCATTTCTTTCTGGTCTGGTAGAGCTAGATGATTTCAATGCAACTAGAAAAAAGAAAAGAAAAAAAATTGAGTGATCTTTGAAAGGCTCTATAGAAATTTAGGTAATGATCTGCTATTTTGTGTAAGAAAAAAATGGATTTAAATATATGCATTTTTATAAATTATAAATACAATCTAATGAAAGATTTTTGTTTTCATATCAAACTTTTTCCTTACCTTAAGAGTGAGCCCTCCAATTTTGTCATCTTTCTCTTTTCTGTATATAATACTTTCATAACAAAATCATTATTCTTACAATCAACCCAAGTGTCATAATTTTATACCTTTTCTCCTTCTTGTCCTTCTCTTTACTATAAGACTCACTTCTAGTTTGTCACTCTTGTGACAAATAAAGGACATTTTTGTTTTCATAGACCATCCTCCCATGACGGCAACAACTCTGGGTTAAGGTAGGGAAACACTTGCACTTATTCTTATCCCACCTAATTTCAGACATCAAACTATGGTTCATCAGACAGGTAAAGCCTGCTCTAGACCTAAGGCTCTCTTCAGGGTAAGGAAGCAAAGAAACATGAACCCTAAATTCATGGCACATAGTAAAAAATCTCAACAAAACAAAGAAAGGTATTTCAAACAAAAAGATGTGGGTATTTTCTGTCATAGTTAAATTTTAACCTTTTAAACAACTCTTCCCAACTTAAGATAAAATACTATAACAATGAATCATCATTATTCAGATCACAAATATATCTAATTGAAAGAAAAAAATACCCAATGACTAAGAAATGAAGAATCAGATCATATTGCTGCGAAGTTCCCAAAAGACATTCCCATCTCTGCATCCTTCTAATAAAAAGGATTCTGTCAAATAAAACTACATACTCAAAGATCATCCATAACTCAGAATTTCCCTACTCTTCACTGCTCCAAAAAAGAGGAGGAAAAGAAAGAAGTCTTCAAATCTGAAGTTAGTCTGAGTAGGTCTGTGTGTTTAAACAGCTTCAAATTACTTGAGCAATTGTACCTTAAACCTTTACCATAAAATTAAAGGCCACCACATCCCAGCCCCAAAATGTCTATGATGCAAAGGGAAATTTATAATAGAATAAAACCTATGAAGACAACTGCACTTCTGTAAAATACAAGTTTCTCACAATGATGGGATATTCAGCCTAAATTTTGAATGATTTTTGAATCTGCTGAAAACCTTCATTTTTACACTGTTCAGAACTTTATTCAAGAATCCTGAAGAACTTCTGTTCACTCACTTTTAAATTACATTAAATTATATTTTACACTATATATATTACCTGAAAGATAAGTGATGCCTTTCCTGTTTTTTGAAGCTATCATGGTAGCTAAGAACTTTCAAGCCAGACAGTTTTCATTAAAATATACCTCAAAGGCACCACAGAGGAAAAATGTGTTTTAAAGAGACATTAACTGATTAATCAGATCAGAAGGCATCTAAAGGTTTGCTTTGAAATGAAAACCCTAATGCTGTTTTTCCTACAAGGTAGGAAAATGTCCTGCAACAGGCCACAGGGAGGTACAGTCACAGCAAATTCATGTGAATACATTACAAAGCCAATTTTTTTTCTAGCATCATTTCAAAAGTATATATATAGAATATTCATTAAACATTCCTGAAGCCAACAGGCAGTAGAAGAAAACGTTTTAAAATGTATCTTATATGATTATTGAACAAGTCCAAATTCAGCTGTGAAAGCTGCAAGTAAAGATGCCTAATCACCCTTGCCATTCTTCAAAATACTATATGTCATTAAATACAAGTGAGTTTTTTCTTTTATAATGTCTGGTAGGGTTAAATACTGTCTGAGAGATAAAATCTATCAGGGTTCCTGACTCAAACATAGCCAATGCATTGGTGGCTATATTCCTCCTAACTTTCAAGGTGCACAAGAGGTAAGTGTGATTTTAAACATTTTCCAGAATTGGTATCTACACCTTTTGCAGAAATCAGAATGTGCATGGAATCAAGCTGTTTCCAACTAAGGCACATGGAAAATCGCTGACAATTGAGATTAGAGAAAATGGAAGATACAGTGGAAATTAGAGCTGTATATCCATAGTTTGGTATGCAATTAATGAAAAAAAAATGAAAAAAATCCAAATTTTCCCTTTTCTGACAGATAACTCACAGGCCTGCCAGTGCCTGCTATAAGCCACCCAAGTGCCTGGCACTGAACAATCCCAGATACCAGGATGCACACTTGTAATGTGTGCTTCTACACTGTCAATTGAAGGCCACCAGAAACAAGGAGCCTTATATCATGGGAGGAGCACCTTGCTAAGCAGCAGTTCAGAACAGACTTATCTAGACAATCAGGTGGTCTCAGAAATACCAGCTAGAGATATACTAATAGGTAATGGAAAGGAGAACTAAATCTTACAAAGCATAATTCATCAAAAAGTAATATCACAGTCAACATCACTCAGCTTAAAACCAGCCATGTGTGTTCTGCTAGTTCTCATAGTCTGTCTTACTCATGTCATCAGACAAAATAATCTCAGTAGTTCATTACTTTATAGTCTTTGAATATCTGAATTAAATAGAATGCATTATGCGCTATCCTTGCTTAATTTTCCTACACAGGAAATTAAAACATGAATACCCCACAGAGTAAAGAGGAAAAATCTGTACACATACTCTAGATTATATTCACCATCAAATTACTTCTCAGAATTTCCCATTAATAATTTTAAAGCATCAAAAATACAGCAAATTTGCTTATACTTGTAAAAAAACTCAAAATCAAATGAGCAAACAAACAAAAACCCCAAATCAAAAAATATCTGTTAAACAGCTTGAGCAGGAGGGTTGGATTGTAAGCACTTGCTTTCCAAGTAGGTTAATGATTGTCATTTAATCCTATGTCCTGCAATAAGTATTATTTCCATTGCCTAGACTTCCCTGATTTGAAGTACAAGTTAAATCTCACAGACAACTAGATAGTGACATTTAATGGATGTTTCTAGATATAAATATATATATATATATTCTGATACATTTGTTTTATGATTGTGAAATGCTTTAGAACACAAGCCAGCAAATGTAAAAGACAGTTGCTTTTACCTTACATCTACAAAGATAAATTCAATAACAATGGTTACCTCAGTATTTGCCAGCTTCTTATCTCTGATTTTAACCGTTACATTCAGGTGATAAGAGACTTCTATGGAGATACAGTGTACTTTATTAGACTAACAGTATGGAGTGGGGGGAAAAAATGTTTGACATACAACTATTTCTTCAGGTCTGAAACAGTTCTAGCAATTGAGTTCTAACTGCTGACAAAAGCCATCTTTCATTTTAAAACCATAAAAGTACTCATTAAAAAAATCATTTACGTAAGGAGAACAGGTATTAGGTAGCCTCCCTTCTTTCCAAGGACCAATAGTCAGTATGAGAAACTGCATGAGTTATAAGCAGTTTGCTGAATCAACTAATAATTCATGATAGATTAATTTCATTAATTATCTGCTAAGATATTTAGAAAGTAATCTAATATGAGGAAAATGATTTTAAAAATAATTCTATCTACTGTCTCATTTAATTTCTATGCTGTTCTTAAAGACTGCCTGCAGTCCAAGATGAAAAATGTCTTTTTCACCTTCAAATACCTGATCTCTAATGTTTATATTTGGTAGGTATGCTCTCCTCAAGCTCCAATCCACAACCAACATCCTCTTCCTTCCAGTCTGTCACTCCTGCTCTCAATAAGAGCCCTTGCCATGACTTCCTCACTTGACAGGCTGCTGCTCTGAAGTCCCAGCTCCATTATTTCACCCACTTCAATGACCAGGCAGCCATCTGTAGCTTACAGAGCACCTTCAACAGGAATCCCGTAAATGATGATTCCATATTCTCTTACCAGAAGTTAACAACAGCAGAGAATTGCAAAATTGTCACAGAGCAAGTGCAAATAGACTCTAACTGATGTAATTGAGAGGGCCCTACTTGTGCTAATTGTTGCAAAGTTAATAAAGTAAGTGGAGATGCAGAGAATTCATCATAAGGCATAAGGCATCATGTTAGCAATTTTATAATTATTAAGTTTCTGAAAAACATTTATGCAGAAGGCTGATTTAAGACATACATACTTGAAATTGTTGAATTTACTATTACTTTAAGAATACAGTTTAGATAGTTAAATTACTTAAAGACAAAGGATTCAAAAACTCTTCCACTTCCCCCATTCATAAAAGAAGGGAAAACCTACAGCAATTATACAAATATTCAAAAGAAATATCAATAACAACAAAATCTAATAAAAATACCTTTCACCTCAATGTGACTAATATTTTATGTAATAATCAGTTGCCTGACCATAAAACAACATAGCAGCATCCATCCAACATAGTGGGTATGAGGACACTGTCATTACTCAACGTGGCCAAACCAAGTTTATTATACTGTTTTCCTCAAATCTAGAAACTACTAAATTGGGTAAAAGGTACTCTTTTTTTTCCAAGTCATCAGAAAGAACTAAGTAAATAAGAAAAATAACTAAAAGTTCTTTTTTTCTGTTTTGAGTGAATAAAGAAGCTTTTCTGACACAAATACACATTTGCTGGTGTTCAGCTGTGAAGTCTGGAGAGATTTTTCTCCACTGAAACCTGAGCATTCGCACACCAAATGTCTCTTGATTATCAAAGGGATGAAAAAAATGTATGATTAAGCTTTCCATCTCAAAATTCATCTAATCCAGCCACGTGTTATTAGAGTGCTGAATAAAACCATTTCAGCAACTGCTGGCTGAAAAGCTTTATGGAAACCATACCCCAGTACAATGTGTTTAGAACTTTTTCCTACCTTTTCTTCCCCAAAGAAAAAGCATAGCAAATTGTTTTGGAGGAGCAGGGGTAGCTCACTACTGAGAGGCGTAAAGAACAGAATATCAAGATGCCAAATTTTAAACAGACCTTTTAAAATCATACTGAGAGTCAACAAATTTCTTTGAATCAGACTTGAGATAATTTTTACTTTTAGGTGAATGATCCGTACAAGGCTAAACATG